CCCCTCGGCCGGCGAGGGTTTAATAACCTATCGAGCGACGACCTATCGCAGACCTAAGTGGCCCAGGCTCCAATCTATAAAAGGGTGTGCTATTCTATTCACGGCATTTGCTAACATTTACAGTGATACCAATGCTAGCAAATGCGCATCTGGGTAAGCGAAACGGTTCCTGGGACCGTCAACATACGATGGACTGAAATGCGGAAAAGAATTTTGCATATAATAGCCGTATCCTGCAGCTTAACTTCAGCCAGTGCTGTCACATTCATTCCACGGCATTTATAACCCTCGCCGGCACAGGGGGGGGGGTTGATGCAACCCCCCTCTAAGGTTTTTCGCGAATAACTCGCGTAAAAAGCGGCCGATCGCGACGAAACTTTCAGTACCCTCGCATTGATCAATTTTACACCTACCCTGAAAATTTCATGACCCTGAGCCCAATGACCTTTGACCTGTGACCTCTTTTCTGTGACCATGTTTGGCCGAAATCGCGCTTCGGCGCATGTCGGCTCGCATTAGCCGCGCGTTTGCAAGCTTTTCGTGGTTTCAAATGTTCAAACATGTGATTTGATGTTGCTCCCATGCATTAGGGTGGGTGTCAAGGTCACCTGAGGGTCAAGTCAGGTCATTGACCTTTGGTGACCTTGGGTGACCTCGGTTCACTTTTTCGAGTTTTACATGTTTCTAGGCTAGTTTTTGGAGCTGAATTCGAATTTAGCAACCATTTGAACATTTACGAAGTAGTTTTGGTGCCTTCGTAACATGTTACGAAGCTGTCAGAGGCGGTTGACACGTATTACGAATACCCGTCACAACCCCTACCGGTTGACCTGACCTGACCTGACCCGACCTGGTCTAAATGCTTAAAGACATCATCTATGATCAAAACGAACACGATATTCGTGATCAGCACCCCGGAAAACCACATAGCAGCCACACTTTACGACTTTCTAACAGGTCCCGATTTTCCCGGTTTTCGGGTCATTGACCTGACCTGGAAGGTCACCCGATGACCTAGGACCTTAAAATTGGGTATCATCGGCTTCGTCTCGTGACGGGCAACACGCTCGTTTTTTCCGCGAAGCTCTAGCTCGATGAGGGGCCAAACGCGAGGGGGGGGGGTCGTACCAACCCCCCCTTGTGCCGTCGAAGGACTCAAAATGGCCTGTGCCGGCGAGGGATAAGATTGGACCAGGTTCTGAGTTATAGGGGCTGAAAACGCTTTTCTCAAAGAATTCCGCTCAAATTACTCCTGTATTTGCGCGGGATACGAAATATGTAAATATTGTTGACGGGAAGGATACAATCTATTATCATACTACAGCCTACAGGAGCGTAAAAAGCATGCCATAACTGCTCGTCTGATTTCTGCGAACTTGTGGAATTAGCGTCAAACTTTACAGAAGTAATATGACGTTTTTCTTCTCGCTGGCTGTTATGATGCTAAGAACGCTAAGAAACGTTGACTGGCTGTAAATTGAAATTCGTTATTTAGATGTCTTAGTGGAAAGGTCAGAATTTTAACTTGATATAAAGAGTTACCAATTCGCTGGGACTTGGGTCTACTTGCAGCAGCGAGCATAATCAATCACGGACTGAACGAAGCCGGTCTCCACAACCTCATACACATAGGTAAGGTTAGCGTGGAATTACGCTCATAAACACTCAAACTTAATTACATAACAATAAATTGAAACACTTCATGAACAATAAATACGATTAATCATTCTCATTTATATGACATAGTGTTCTCTGAGTTGATGACAAACAGAAAAGTTTATCGCCGTATCGTGGAAAATGAGCATGCAATTGAAGTGCACATTTTCTTTTTTGCGTCACAAGGCAGCAAATAAATAGCCATGCCGAGTACGAATCAATGAAAAAGCTGCGTGCGAACCTAAGGCCAAAACGCAGCAACAAAGCATTCACACCTGCACCTGAAAGGATGTGGACAGTACTTCGAGCAGGTGTCCGGACAAATTGCCGAAAGGCGATTTGCCGAATGTCATTTTGCCGAATGCACTTCGCCGAATGTCATTTTGCCGATGTGCTTTTTGCCGACGTGTCAAAAAGTCGAAATGCTAAAAGTCGAAATGCCATTTGCCGACATGCCTTTTTGCCGAAATGCCAATTTGCCGAAATGCTTATTAGTCGAAATGTAAATTTGCCTAAATGCGATTTGCCGAAATGTCGATTAGTCGAAATGTCAATTTGCCGAAATGTAAATTTGCCGATATGTCAATTTGCCGAAAGGCTAATTTGCCGAAATGTCAATTTGCCGAAATGTCAATCTGCCGAATCGGCAGTTTGCCGAAATGTCGATTAGTCGAAATGTAAATTTAACGAAATGTCGATTAGTTGAAGAAATGTCAATCTGCAAACCTCGGTTAGGTTAGGTGGTACCTATTAGTTTACTTTAGGATCGATCATCAATTTACTTTTAGTGCAATCCCGGATACCCAAGTAAAAAGCAAATCACATGACATCCTTTGACCTCCTGATTTCATAACTAGGTCCATGGCACAAACAACTTTAAAAGCACCAATACAATATGGAAAATAACATCAAATTGCTCGTGGTGAAGCAGTGCAGTGCCGAAGGCAATGCCTTAGGAGAGATTACAGGCAATGGTAAGTCAAATATTTTTAGGTTAAGTGGTGATGCTCAACCACTTAACCTAAAAATATTTGACTTATCATTGTCTGCAATCTATTCATGTGAGTAACTTCTTCCTTATCCACGGGTAGGCAAAAATCAGTAGGTCAGGTTAGGTAAGGACTTTGGTTATGTTTTTTGATGTAAGTAGGTATGTATCATATCAGGATTTAGGAGCTCAAAAAATGGAAGAAGGTGTAAAATTTACCTAACAAAACTGAGTCGGTCCTAAAGCTAATACTTATACAGACTAGGTTAGGTTATGTTAGGTTGGGCTAGGTTAGGTTAGGTTAGGTTGGGTTAGTTTCGGCTAATTGGCATTTCGGCAAATTGACATTTCGACTAATTGACTTTTCGGTAAATTGACATTTCGACTAATTGACATTCGACTAATTAGCATTAAGGCGAATTGACATTTCGACTAATTGACTTTTCGTCAAATTGACATTTCGCTTAATTGACATTGCGTCAAATTAGCATTTCGGCAAATTGACATTTTCGACTTATTGCACGTCGGCAAAAAGGCATGTCGGCAAATTGCATTTCGACTTTTAGCACTTCGCCTTTTTGACACGTCGGCAAAAAGACACGTCGGCAAAATGCATTCGACATATTGACATTTGGCGAATAAGCATTCGGCAAAACGCAGTTCGGCAAATTGTCCTGTAACCCTTCGAGCACGCTTCATTATCTACTCGTTTAGTACCTAATAATAATTAATGATCTTAACTTTCATAAATGTTTCTTTGCATTTGTTGACTGTTGTATGGAACCCAGCCATGGATGCACACTGCACAGTGCACAACAGCCCGGCAGCCTGAGCGCAAGACCTAACTAACTCCTTAATGACAAAGATGTGCCTCTGGCGACGCCTGACCTTGGGGATAACCGGACGATTACAAGGGGCAGACATCATGAAGTCACGAACAATGAACATGGGTTCTTTCAACTTGCAGTGGATGTGCAGACTCTCATGAAAAGGCTGTGGGCTGGTCATGAGACAGCAGACAACCCCACTGGTTGCTGCGAGCGCGAGCATCAAATAAAAATATTTAAACATAGCACTCAAAACCCCTGCACGCTGACGTGTTTAACGGTACCTTATTAGAGGCATCTCATCTCTTCAGTGCTCATCTTCAGCCCTCCTCTTGAATCAAACCACGATTCCATGCGTTTTTCTAGCTATCATAGTTCCTGAGATAAATGCATGTTTTCTGAGAAATATAATGACATTTGGCAAATTTTGACCTTTGAAGACCTCCAGTGACCCCAATATTGCTCTAAGATGAAAAATGACCTAAATACTTTCAAACGTAAGCATTGAGAGCTATCGACTGCTTTTTACCGCGTCTTTCCAGCCCTCTTAGTTTTTGAGTTAGAGGTGGGTGGTAACATATGCCCCCCCCCCCTCACTAGGGCGAAGTAGGCTGAGACCGCCACTGGGGCGCGGGTTAAAAGTGAGTTCAAAAATTGGACGTCATCAATTTTGAAGTTTTTTTTTCTATAACTTGGCCAAAAAAGGAGGTATCGATCTAAAATTTGGTATATAGATAGAGGAGCGCACAGCTTAATAAATTCCGTTTTTGGCGTTTTTTTTCTAAAAAAAAAAAGATTTCATTTTATTTTTTACAAAGAACTTTGAAATTGGTTGTTAGCTGCAACTTTTGTGAGCGTTTCAAGATTTCATTTCTTATCATTTTTGCTCAAACATGACCTCAGTTTGACCTCAATAACTCCTGACCAAGGGTGAGCTAAGGCTTGAAATTTAGTGTGAAGGTATCAAATTGATGCCCGAGAAGATACTGAAAACTTGGCGGCGCTGCGCGGCGCGCGCCGCCGTTTTCTTGCTATTCAGGAAAAAACACAGAAAGGGGGCATATTGCCCCCCCCCCCAACGGGGCTAGGGTTAAGCATTTAGAACGAAAAAGGTTTATCACCCAGCAAAACATTATGCATGACAAAAGTTAGACCTTTAGTAACTAGGTATATTTAATAAAAAGCCCATAACTACATTAATTAGTTAATTTTCTTGACATGCACGATTGTACAGAACTTGTTTTTGTCGCATTTTAGAACAGACTGCCAGTCAGTATCAAGGAAACTTTTGGCTAACATCCGCATTAAAAAAGCGTAACAAGAAAATGACGCGAAATGTCACCCCATTGCAAAACGATGGGTTGCTTCGGAAGCAAGCTTTGTTTATTCACGGTGATCGGCGTTACGATATTGATGCGTAGGCTGATGGTTTTCTCAAAAGGAAGGATTCAAGAAATATAGCTGAAAAGCAGACGCACTGAAAGCGAAAAAAAAAAACTGGACAAATTATGTACGGTTAGATGAGCTCTGTTCTTTAGGACTATACAAACGAGGCCGGATCACGGGCTCATGACCGTGTCGCGCCGGATGATCCCGCAGCGTTCGCGGCTCAGCCGGCGGCCGCGGTCGCCCTCTGACGTCACCGGGGCCAGCGAGTGACGTCACTGGGCGAGGACCAACGTCACGGTCGGGTCATGGCGAGGGGAGGACTGGGGACGGTCCGCGGCGCCGGGGCCGCCAGCGCACTCCGCCAGACGACAGCAGCGGAGCAGGGCGGCGGCGACGGCGCCTCCCGACATCTGAGGCAGGTAAGACATCCTCGAGTGCGGCCGGTGTTTCTCACTGGATGACTGTCGAGAACTCCTGTACCACTCGGCACTCATACTCGAAGGGAAAACGCTGTTTTGAAAAAGCCAATGCTGCAGTCCAGAGCTACTACAGATACTGAGCTAGTACAGATAGCCAATATAGAGCTCGTCCATCGTAACACTGACCGAGTCTCTAAGGTGCACAGCACACGGGTGTAGCGGGTAATGTAAACAAACTGCGACGGCGGCGCGGCTGTCATTGTATGCGTGCAATGTGGGCAAATTCTCGTGAACCTACAGTCGGAGCTATCAACGGTGGTTGAGGAAATCTGAAAGAAAAGGCTATTTTTGCGTGAAATTTCAAAATTATTTCTTCTAGATTTACTCGCAGTTAACACGCGCACTGCAGGTTGTTTTCAACCCCCCCTCCTGTAGTTTTTCGCAAATTGCGAGAAAACGGCGGCGCGTAGCGCCGCCAAATTTTGCATACCTGTTCTCACAACTTTTGCACACCTTGAGTAAAAATTTTGACCCCAGGTGACCTATGGTCAGGTCACCAGGTCAGGTCAAGTGACCCTACCTCGAAACGTAAATTTCGAAGTTTGCAATCCCACCAAGCCCACAGTTGTTGAGATATGATCTTGAAACCCACAGGAAATAGTAAAGTCATCACGAGCTACAACTTGTATATCTCGGAATTTTTATATCGATGACCTAAGGTCAGGTCATTTTTGCGACCGGCCCATTATAAGTCAATGGGAGAAATTTCAACTTACTCTGAATGCCATCCTATGACTTCAATACGCTCAGGATCATAGTATTACAGGTTCCTGTTGGTGATTTCACCGAAACATATCACTTATGACCTTTGGAAGGTGATCTCCAGGTCATCTTAGGTCACCTGAGGTCACCAGCGGTTTTTCTTCAATAACTTGAGATTGAGTAGAGATAGAGACTCCGTTCGACGTTTATCGTGTTTTTCTCGTCAATGCGGATCGAATGATATGCAACATGACTTATTTCGGTCAGGTCATGACCTTGACCTGAGGTCAAATTTTCAACTTGACCTTTCGAGGTCATATTATATATCATTCGATGCGCCTTGACGAGCTAAGAACGATGGCGTTCGAATCGATCCTCTGTCTTGTGTGCAAGACAAGTTATTCAAGAAAAACTACCGCGAAATTCCTGTTGTGAAAATCGTAACATTTTGTCTTCGGTGACCTCTGGTGACCTCGTTTTTGACCTGACCCAAAAATGATCTTAGTATTTCTTGTCGATCTCATCTTAACCTATCCAACGCCGTTTACCGCTTGTCGCTACGTTGCGCCGTTTTCGAGATCTCAGGGGGGGTTGTTTTCAACCCCCCCCCCCCTGCAGTTCGTGTTCGGCTCAGACCCGCTGCAGTGCGCGTGATAACAAGTTAACGTGCACTAGCGTAACCCGCTTGCTCCGCAAACGCTAGAATACTTAAAAAAAAACGAATGTATCGTAGCAATACACAACAATGTTTTCGTCAGAGATATACTTTTTAAGCAGATACGTTATTCACCTCCAAATAGCTTTCTACCGTCCGCGATCGGGTTCGTAGTTAGCCTTGATGGGTGTACGTAAGGTCATGGGTTGTTAATTGTTTACATCAGAGGTCACCGAAAATTGACCGAAAACATTGTCACCAGAAAATGCCTTTTGGGGCGACCAACGGAGCGAGCGAGAGGGCTTGCCTTGCACGTGCGAAATTGCGAAGGGGTACCTCCAATTAACTTGTGCACTGCACCCTACTAACCGGTCCCTAGCGATGTGCCAATTTGAGCGCAATCGGCCTAGCCGTTCTCGAGATCTGGAAGCGGCACCCTGCACGTGCGCACGTGCATAATGGGTCCCAACTGACCTTTGCACAGCACCCTGCTAACCGGTCCCCAACCATGAACGAAATTTCAGCGCAATCGGTTCAGCCGTTCTAGAGATCTGGAATCGACCCCTGTACGTGCGCACGTGCAGCAGCACCCCAACTGTGGCACATGAATATGCATTGCCTAGCATGGGTGTCTACCTCAATAGGACACTTTTTATAAAAAGAAAAAAGAAAGAAATAACACAAAACGTAGTTTCAAATATTTTCCCACAAATATTGACTTTCGTTTGATTGGCCATGAGTAGATACCGAACCAGAAATACATTCGCGGATCTGGAGAGTTGAATTGAACGTTACGGGAGAGGTGGCAAACTAAATAAAATAACCAAAAAGCTCTGAATTCGCATCATTGTGCCTTACTTTGCAGGTTAAAGTACACTTTTTATTGCGTTGCTGTGCAATTTACGGAAATTGTTAAATAACTGTTTTTCTTCTAATGAAAGTTGTTTCATTTTCTTCCAAGTATTTACAAAAAAAACTATTTCTTTTAATAATTGACTCTATTGAGGCATTGGCCCGCAATGCCATTTGATTTCCCACTGCAAAATAGCATGCTCGTTAAATGCACCGAAAGGACGTCACTTAACCAACATTAATTAATTTAATAGAATATTGTCAAACCCTAAAAATTAGTAAGTTGATGGTTAGACGGAATTGATTTGTCAAATGTGTCCCCCCCCCAAAAAAAAACATGAAACGCATTTGTACTTGTTTACGAAGACCACGCTAGTCTGCGAAACACATATACCGTTATGACGTATATGGTGTATACCGCTCCATTTACTTCGCAAGAAAACTAATGTGGTTTTCACCTAAATTAAAGGGACCCTCCCACCTTCAAAAAAGTTTATGAATTGGCATGAGAGTGATGTCGCTCGGTTCAGAAAGAGCGAAAACGAATATCTACCAAATTTCACCGAAAAATATTCACCGGTTTTCAAGATATTAGACTTTTACTTTTGTTTACTTTTTGGGATCTCCGCTGTTCCTGGCGACTTTATTTGGAAGCAATAGTTTGGCAGCTGAAAGTGCGGCACTTGTTGCGCGCAAAGCAGCATATACCACCACGTGCTACAAAACGTTTTAGTCAAACATTTAAAAATCGTTAGATACCTATATGCGCTGACGTCACACATTCAGAGGGGTATTCCTATGCATTAGCCCCTCTGAATCAAAATGCTGCAATTTTGAAATTCAATATTTCTGATTTAACCCTCGCCGGCACAGGCCATTTTGCGTCCTTCGACGGCACAAGGGGTGGGGTGGGGGGGGGGGGGTGGTACGACCCCACCCCCCTCGCGTTTGGCCCCTGATCAAGCTAGAGCTTCGCGGAAAAAACGAGCGTGTTGCCCGTCACGAGACGAAGCCGATGATACCCAATTTTAAGGTCCTAGGTCATCGGGTGACCTTCCATGTCAGGTCAATGACCCGAAAACCGGGAAAATCGGGACCTGTTAGAAAGTCGTAAAGTGTGGCTGCTATGTGGTTTTCCGGGGTGCTGATCACGAATATCGTGTTAGTTTTGATCAGAGATGATGTCTTTAAGCATTTAGACCAGGTCGGGTCAGGTCAGGTCAGGTCAACCGGTAGGGGTTGTGACGGGTATTCGTAATACGTGTCAACCGCCTTTGACAGCTTCGTAACATGTTACGAAGGCACCAAAACTACTTCGTAAATGTTCAAATGGTTGCTAAATATTCAGCTCCAAAAACTAGCCTAGAAACATGTAAAACTCGAAAAAGTGAACCGAGGTCACCCGAGGTAACCAAAGGTCAATGACCTGACCTGACCTTCAGGTGACCTTGACACCCACCCTTATGTATGGGAGCAACATCAAATCACATGTTTGAACGTTTGAAACCACGAAAAGCTTGCAAACGCGCGGCTAATGCGAGCCGACATACGCCGAATCGCGATTCCGGCCAAACATGGTCTCGGAAAAGAGGTCACAGGTCAAAGGTCATTTGGGTCAGGGTCATGAAATTTTCAGGGTAGGTGTAAAATTGATCAATACGAGAGTACTGAAAGTTTCGTCGCGATCGGTCGCTTTTTACGCGAGTTATTCGCGAAAAACCTTAGGGGGGTTACATCAACCCCCCCTGTGCCGGCGAGGGTTAAGGCATTTCTCGATGTTGTAAGTGCCGAAACCGGTAATTGTGAGCCGGGGACCCCATTTTGGCTATCTCAACTCAAATCTAATGTTAAGGTGGGAGGGTCCCTTTAACTATAGGTTCATATTCGCAACATATTTGATGATTTTTAAATGAACGCTGTTCACTTTTAATAAAGCTTTATATTTATGCTACCGAATGATTTTAACCTGCCATGCGGTAGGGGGAGCATTTTTTTGCCCCCCCTTAGTTTTTTTAAAGATTTACTTCCAGAAGCGCTGCAACTGCAACCGCAAACTTTCAGTACCCTCCCGGGAATAGCTTTTACATATTGTGACCGAAATTTTTCAAAGGCTATGATAGGTTGGCCGTTAATGACGTCGGAGTGACGTCATTTCTGTCATTTTTGACCCAAGGAAAGGTTTCGTGGGAAGAGCTATCAGGCCTACAGCTTTAGAGATACATAAAAATGTTTTTGAGATAAAAGGTGTTGAAGTAACAGGGCTATAAAACTGCTATCTCCGATTTTATATTTTTTATTTTGACACTCAACAATCAAAATATAATCTTTTAAATATAATAGCAAAAAAATCCCAAAAGATTATCACTTGATTCTCCCCTCATAAATTGATTTCACTTGATCAATTTGAACTCAATCACAATTCACAATCACAATCAATCAAATATATATATATATATATATATATATATATATATATATATATATATATATATATATATATATATATATATATATATATATATATATATATATATATATATATAGTGATCAAGAGCGTCAGCCGAATGGGCTCCCGACAATGTAAGGAAGCGGATTGCAAGTGTAGCTGCAGGATGTGACAAAAATGATACTATGAGCAGCTTCCAAGTACAGGAGTTAAAAAACATCAGCTCACATAATAAACAGTAAGTAGTACAAAGTACGCTAGATGGTGTTTTATATGACATTCTTG